ACTGTGGGAATACCATTCCCAAGGTTGCTAAGCCGCATTGTTGTTGTAGTGAGGGCACACCCTCCTAGCAAGATGCGGCTGCTTCTGGGAGGAGCTACTACCCATTCTTCTTCTTTCTCATAGTGATAGGGAGCTAACTTCAAAAGCTTTTCATTTGAGCCAATCCTGACGGCATTATGTAACCATTATCCTATCTGTATACTGTCAACTATCTGTGAGCTTGTAAGGTTAATAAACACAGTCCTCCTGGGGCCAGAGCAGTCGTCTTATTCAAGTCCTCTTCTTCTAGTTGCCCATCAGGAGCACTGCTGGCAGACACCCTTCTGTGTGTGTGACTGACTTCTTTAACTTCACTCTCTAAGACTATTTGCTATCCTGAGTATCTGGTGATCACCATAAACCATCAGCCTTCTCTTTTCCTGACTCTACAAATGGTGGTACCAATAAAGTGTTGCTAATCAACATCCACCACTAGGTTTTCTAACCACTATAATAAAATGGATTTCTAGTAGTTCTGAGATTTTCCTGATTCTCTTTTCTAGAAGTCTAGGATTAATTTTCTCAGGCTCACAAGTGTTCCCCTCCTCCTCATTTCTCCTATTGAGGAAAAGACCACAGATTGCCTTTAAATGAAGCAAAACCTGTCTCTAAGTTTAGTTTTCTTTATATTACCTGCATCCCGTTCCCCTCTGAATGAGTCGTAGCCCACATTTTCACTTCTCTCCCTTTCCACCAGATGCCTTCCTCAATAGTGGAAATAAACCTGACCTTCCGACTAGTAAAATGAGACTTGGCCAGCAGCCAGGTTGTATGAGGCAGCTTGCCTACTGAGCATTAATTTGCTTTCTTTGTGCTCCATGCCCTGATCCTTGGATAGGCCACTTCACAAGAGATGCCAACATCGTTGTTGTTGTTGTTGCCACACGCCAACAAATGAGTTGCAATGGGATAGAGAAACAGAACCATACAGAGGGGTGAGCTACATCGCTGCAGGAGAGCTACCCTCTATGCTATCTATATTTCTGCTTGCTGTGGTTCCTGTCAGTCTTCTCAGGTTGGAGCACAAGATCAGCATTACTGGGACTGAGAAAAGCAAGCCCCACTAACTTGCTCATGTTGAAGTATCCCACAAGTTGGATGAATAGGCTGAAGTGATAACTTCAGAGAGGCTGGGAGCTGCTTCAGGGTAGCCACTTACAGATGATGTTTTTGAACTGGTTTCTTATGACAGGATGCGCATCACTTGTAACTTTTTAAAGTGTTTCTAACATGCTTCTTAGGACTATGCCTCTAATAGATCGATTAAGGATGTATATTATGATTATGTTCGTCCTCATGCACTACATGAGAAAGCTTATGCCTTTCTGCGACTTATTTTTGTGCATTTCTGTGAGGCACAAAATTTAAAATTCTGGTAACTGTTGCCCAGTTTATGGACTATGAAAAAGGTAGAAACCTTGAATAGGTTGTTTCGATCTTCATGAGCAGTTGGCCTGTCTTTTGTGTATTTGTTTTTCTTTCAGAGAGGGAAAATTTTAGAGATGTGGTCTTTCAAATTTTTTGACTCCAAACCCCAGAATTCTGCACACCTGCAGACACCTGTGTCTGTGCCTAAAGGGCAATGCGGTTGTCACTTTCAGAAGCATTAGTCAGCTGTCTCTTTTTTGGGAAGCAAAGACCAGAAAAGGCCATGAAGCCCTGGAGGTAGGCCTTCTATAGATGTATTTGTGAGCTGAAACTCCGAAAATTCTACCTGGAGAATTATTGGAGAATTTTGGGAGCTGGAGTCCCAAAACACATTACCCTACAAAAGATGTTTGACAATTTGAACTAATTGCACAAAGCACAATGGGAAAAGGTGTACTTGTTATCGCAGTCCCACGTTGGAAGTACGATCTTTCACAGGGCATGAAAACTTTTCAAAGGTTGTGTGCCTGTGACAAAACAGTCTGCTTCAACTATAAAGGAGACATTAGGAAAATTTCTTCACATCCCTCACATCTCCTATTTTGTTTCCTCTTTAAGGCATACAGGTCCAGCATTCTTGTGACCTTCTTTCTGGTTAAATTTTAAGTCATTCCTTTGCCTTTAACATTCTCTTTGTTCTATATTTGTTATTTTCCACATGCAACAGCTTTCCCTACTTTAAATAAATATGTGTGCCCTGTAGTTGATAATCAGAATGCTGGCACATCTCTTATGCACAGAGATAATTAGAGATATAAGTTGATGATCTTTTTTAAAAAGGAAACTTCATACAATAAAAGGAACAAGTGGCACCAAAGATCACAGGTGGAGTTAAGGAGCCAGAATTTGAAACAATTCAACAGCCCAATGAGCAAATCTCATTATCTTGTGACGATTGCATGATTGTGCATCTGTCTCTCTCTCTCTTTCTGTGTGTGTGTGTGTGTGTGTGTGTGCACGCGCACACACACACACACACACACACACACACACACACACACACACACACACACACACACACACATGCATAGAAACAATAGGAAATGGAAATGCCTTTTGATTTTATGTATTCATGCAGGCAAGTTAATGATCTTCCACAGGATTCTTTTTCAAAAAAGAAAACCCAAAAGACAATAAACTTTTCTGTTCTAATCAGGACATAGAAAGTTTGTAGAAACAGAAACAAATTAAGTTAGAACATGTATGTGGGGTAAGTACAGAAGATGTGACAAGTGGGAAGGATAATTGGGGAGACTGGGACACCAAAATGCTGAAGCTGAAGTTATCACATACAGGTGCATCCTAATTTAAAGTGAGCATCCTCATTCTTTGTTCATTAGAGTCAGCAGTGCTTGTTGTCTGACAAGCACGACACATTGAGCTATTGTTGTCTAATTAATGATTTTCAGCGGCCACATGACTACTGTGGACAGCAAAAGAAATCATATTCAAAGTAGTCCCTGGGATGATACATTCACAAATTGTCCCTGCTTCTCCCAGAACTATTGACCATGGAGCATTTCCGTGTGCAATGCGCAATATCCTTGTCTGTGTGCAAAACAATTAAATCAGTACTATTTTTCTCATTCCATGTACATGTGGCTGTAGATTCTGTAAAGGCCATTTCCTTACCTAGGAATATAGTGTTATGCTTTAGGAGAAACAGATCCCGGGTGGGTGAGAATTCCATTTGTGTACTTTTTTTCTTCTTAAAAATTTCCAAAATTAGTTTTCATAAAAGTGCTAGAAAGCATTTTGGGTTTTTTATTATTATTGAATTTGGAAAACAGAGAAATTGACAGGCACGATAGCTTGCTCTTAAAGGCCTGACTTTGAAATCTAACATTTGTCATCAAGCTAAATTCGAAGATTTTCTTCCACTAAGGAACAAAGAATGTGCACATAGGCAGAGAGAAAAAAACACTAATGTACTGTAGTGAGGTGTGCTGTGCACACCAATTGTGTTCATATACAACTGCAGCCCCCCTTCTGAAATATTCAAGTGGACACCCGCGTCAGAGTACATTGGCTTTGGGAAGATGTAGGTCAGCAGGAGCAGTGAGACTGGTGCAGCATGAGGAAAAAAGCTGAGAAGAAAATCATTTGAAGGAGTTTGATAAGAACACACACACAA